TATACTATACTAGAGACTTATTTTGGAGAACTATTTTATTGGTTGTCATTTGCAACTATTTTTTTGTCATAACATACTTCTTAATTTTCATAATTTTTAACTTTCATTGATCAAAATGGCAAATTTTGACGAGTTTGAAAGAGTTGATGTTAAAAGATTCATTTTTCCCTTCCAATTTTATTCAAGATATTAGAATGTTAACTTCCTTTAAAAATTTGTACATGTATTTTTGTGAGTTCAATGGCAGCCTCAATTTACATGATAAATTAAATATTTTAATTTTTTATTTACTTACTCAGTACTAGTATCATTTTTTCGGTTATCATTTGTAATTATGTCTTTCAATTCAAAACATAATTCGTAACTTTTATTGAATAGAATGGAAATATTTGACAAGTTTGGAAGAGTTGATATTAGAAGATTCATCTCTTCCTTCCAACTTTATTCAAGATATTGGAATGTTGGCTTCTCTTAAAAATTTGGAAGTGAAAGTTTGTGACGTCAACGGCAGCCTCAATTTTCATGGTAAATTAGATATTTCAAATTTGTAGTTATAGATCCATTTTATTTCTTTTTTTTTTTTTTTTGGATGTCTCTTACCTCTAGCCATTCAAATAAGCATTGCATATACTTAAAATTACAAGATTTTGTAATGAAGGTATCACAATTATGAGTCTATGTAAATTAGTAATCAACAAAAAAATAAAAAGCAAAATAGTTTAGCAATTATATAAATAACAAGAAAAAAGGAAATTTGTTGATTTTAAGTCTTCGGTAACTTTGTTTCTTGTCATTAACAATATTTATCTGAATTAATTTAAGCTTTTTTGACATATTTTTTTACTTCTGTTTTCCTAAAAAAGCATCTTGATTTTCTTCCAAAATAAACATCTTGATTAATTGACTTAATAGTATGAAATAAATATTTATACAATTGTTAAAGCTGTAATTTATGATAGGATGTGAGTATATTGTTAATTGCATACATATTATGATATTATCCCCCCCTTTTTTTTTACTTAAAATATATCTTCATATGTTTCCGTAAATATATTTATTTGAAATAGGTCCACTTCATTTGAAGAATTTGGAATCCTTGGTCATACGGGACACTTCCCTGGAAAACAACTTTCTTCAAAAAATTGGAGCAATGCCTTCTCTCAAGAATCTAGAATTATGGGACTGCGGACTCAATGGCACCTTATATTCCCAAGGTTGAGATTGATAGACACCTTACCTTTGTTTTAAGTTCTCCTTAGTCCCACCATCCTATACTCATGTTGTCCCTTTTGCATTTGAAATATTCTCCCATACAAAATGTTACTCTTCATATATTATTCTTATATAATATTACCTTTTATCATAACTTTTAAAAAAGTAACGAAACCTACTATGTTCTAAACAAACACCAGATTTTTTAAAATTTTCTTTATGTATTATCTCTTTTCCTTTTGATCTCTCTAAATTTTATGAAATGTTAGTAAGTGACAAAATATAAGGGATGGAGAGACTAATTGTTTTTTTTTTTTTTTTTTTGTTCCAGCGCATGGCACCTTCTTCATTTATTTAATATAATGCTACTTTTGCAGGTTTTTGTGAATTGACAAATCTCCAAAACTTGGATATTAGAGACAATAATTTATGGGGTAACTTGCCCGAGTGCTTCTCCAATTTCACATCGCTTGAAAGTTTGCTTCTTTATTCCAATCAATTTTCTGGAAGTATATCTGCCCTTAAGAGTTTAACATCCCTCCGAACGTTGGATCTTTCAGACAATTACTTTGAAATCCCCAGCTCATTAGGTCCCTTGTTCAACCTTTCAAAACTCCATTCCATCTTTGCAGACAACAATACCATATATGCTGAAACCGAGATGCATTCTTTGGCGCCAACATTCCAACTGAATAGGATCAGCATATCTTGTTGTGGAGATGTTGGATCATTTCCTCAATTCCTTTATCATCAACAAGACTTGGTGTCTGTTGATCTCTCTAACATCTATTTGAAAGGGGAATTTCCAAATTGGTTGTTGGAGAACAACACAAATTTAACTACATTAGTTCTCGTCAACAACTCTTTCCTGGGACCATTTCAGTTACCTTTCCTTTCACATACAGGGTTATCACGTTTGGATATCTCCAAAAATTCCTTCTATGGCAACATTCCAAATGAAATTGGAGCAAAACTGCCATCATTATGGTTTCTGAACATGTCAAAAAATCATTTTGGCGGTAGCATTCCAGTTTCAATCGGAGATATGAAATCTCTACGAACCTTGGACTTGTCTGACAACAAATTGAGTGGAGGATTACCGGAGCCCTTGGCAATAGGCTGCTCCTCATTAAGTGTTCTTATATTGTCAAACAACATATTGCATGGCCAGATGTTCTCTTCAAATTTTAACTTGACAAACTTGAGGCAGTTGCAATTGGATGGGAATCTCTTTTCTGGAAGGATCCCAGATTGTTTGTCTAATTGCTCCTCGTTGATAAAATTGGATCTTAGCAATAACCAACTTTTTGGTGATATACCAAGGTGGATGGGGAATTTGAGTTTGTACGAAATTGCCATGGCAAAAAATCATCTTGAAGGTCCAATCCCCGAGGAGATTTGCCAGCACAATCTTGAAGTTCTGGATCTTTCAGTGAACAATATCTCTGGCAATCTACCGTCTTGCTTCAGCCAATTACATTTCAGTCAAATCCATTTATCAAGAAACAAGCTACAAGGGCCACTCATAAATGAATTTCTTAACAGCACTATGGTAACATTAGATCTCAGCCATAACCACTTAACTGGAAACATTCCAAATTGGATCGGCAGTCTTTCTCGGTTGAGATTTCTTCTCCTAATAACAACCACTTTGAAGGTGAGATTCCGGTTCAGTTATGCAAGTTGAGCCACTTAAGCTTGATTGATCTTTCTAATAACCATCTTTCTGGTACAATTCCTCCTTGCCTGAAGATTACAACACTAAATGATATATCCCAAGATTATGTCCGTTTTATCTTTACTGCTGATAGAAATATGTCGAGTTCTATCCCCATTGAAGAGCAAATAGAGTTCACAACAAAAAGCATATCCTACTTTTATAAGGGAAAAGTCCTCACTTACCTTTCTGGAATTGATCTCTCTTGCAACAAGTTGATTGGAAAGATTACTCACACATTCAAAAACATCCAAAATATCCAAACATTGAATTTGTCTTTCAACAGTTTGACAGGACCAATCCCGCCAGCGATTTCTGAACTCAAGCAAATTGAGAGTCTCGATCTTTCTCACAACAACTTGAGCGGAAAAATCCCTTCTCAGCTTGTGGGGTTAAATTACTTGTCATTTTTCAGTGTGGCATACAACAATTTATCTGGAAGAACTCCTGAAAGGACTGCACAATTTGCAACATTTGAAGAGAGTAGCTACCTGGGAAATCATTTTCTTTGTGGCGCACCACTGCCAAACTGCTCAACAGGACCATCATCATCAATGTCAAAGGCTTCAACCGACAATGGTTCAATTGACATGAATGTCTTTTATGTAAGTTTTGTTGTGTCTTACTTTATGGTGCTACTGAGTATAGCCTGTGTGCTCTACATTAATCCTTATTGGAGAAGAGCATGGTTCTATCATATAGAAGCAGGCATCACTTCCTGCTACTATTTTGTGGTAGACAATGTTCTTCCTAAACGATTCTATTGTGGAAATATGTAGCCAAGACATGTTCAGTTGTTCACCTTTCCTCTTTGTTAATGACTCTTTACTTAATCTATTGGTCTGTCATAAAGGATTCTATAGTAACTGAAAAGCAAACAGGTTTACATCATATATCCAAGACATCAATTTTTTGCATTAGCCACCACCATAAGGGCAAACCTACATCATACAGGATATGTTTTGATCGAGAAACATTACAGCCCAACACCAAATAACAGCCTGACTGATGGCTGCAACCCCAGTTGACCCAATCAAACCCCAACAACCAACATTGCCCACCAAAATACCCGTTTAGCCCAAGAAGACTATCCAATCAATCTAGAATCAAGAGCATCTCCAACCAAGGGAAATTCAGTTTAAAACATTATTTTCTCCATAAAAATGTAAACTCGCATATAATATATATATACATATATATATATATATATCATAGTAAATGAATTAAGTTTGTAAATTCTGCAGCATGAAACAATATGATTCTTTGATTAGTTAACAAATTTAGGACAAGATGAAGTGATGAATTTATAATGCAACATACCAATTGGATGCCAAGAAACATAAATAGAAACAATAAAACAGATACAATTTCCAATGATCACAATTTTATATTCCCAATAGATAAGTTACCGGAATAATAGGCGATCAAAGTAGGAAAAATTTCATCCCCAAACACATTTGATAGAACATCATGACCTGTTGCACTGCATTTTCATAAGTTCCATATGTTGAATGATTCATCATCCTGTACCAAAATAATTATTTAGGGTAAAATCTCACTAGAAAACGTTTCTTTCTAAAACTAACAGAATAGAACTTAGCTATATTAGTTCACTCTGATTGACTGGCAAAGAAAAAAATACTTGCATCATCTTTTGCATCATCAGAACCAGGAAATCGTGATGTATGGAATCAAGGTTTTACATCTTGAAGAGGAAATATAATGAGAGAATCTATTAGAAACCACATACAGAAAAATAAAGTGCTGACATGAGACGAATTACACAAAAGTAAGAGCACAATGATGAATAAAATTACAATGACCTGATGTCTGTCTAGAAGAGACTTATCTTCCTACAAAAATGAATTGACTCCAAATAAACTATCAATTATAATTGCCAATTCAGATAACCACAAAGCAGAAGTTGAAAAGACATAACCTCAGCATCAACAAGTGACTTATCGGTCATCAGCATAAACCATGTTTGACAACAAAATCTAAAAAAAAGTAACAGATACATGAAATTAAGAACATAGGTGTTGTAAATGGCTCTAAAAAAAAGAAAAAAGAAACTAACAAGATAGAACCCTGCAAAGTATTAGCCTACTGAATTAGATGTGGTAGATATTCTCTCAAATTCTCAAGTAACTGTGCATTGGAATATACAGACCTGCCAATCAAGTTCAACATTGATTCTTAAACATTAGATCTGGGGAGGGGGAGGACTAGTAAAGTTAAATGCACGGCCTTCATTCCTTTCTATGCCTAGATTCAAGAAAATGAATCTACATTTTTAACAGAAAGGATTAACAATATAATGGCTATAATATTAAAATTCTTGATAACTACGGTTTGATAGCACATAGAAGCAGAGGCGGACGCAGAGGGGCAAGCACAGCTCCAACACTTCTGACATATTTAACAAACATTTTATGTGATCAAGCAAAGAAGACTAAGAAAAAAAAAAGGCTAAATTCAAAAGATATTGCATTCTGCCAAAAACTATTAGTTTGAAGCATGCCAATCTGCATAAGCTATCAAAAATATGGTTTTAAAAGACATCTGAGTCTACATATAAGACATTCAGACATGTAATGCACAAAGAAGAAAGTTACCAAAATTCACATGCTTCAAGTGCCACTTCATCATTCATCAATGCCTTTATTGACTTGCAACATATATCCACTTACATCTTCAAGTGTGGCTGTCAAATAGTTACAAAATCACATCACAGAGTGTTATGCATAAAAAGAAACAAGTGTATGACATAGATACTAAAAGAAGGTAACACTTCATGCTACTAAAAGAACTGCAATAAGAAAATGTAAGAAAACTAAAATGTAACAAACAAAAGATACCCACCTCCAGAAAAGATGGGCGGACTTCAATTAAGCTGACCAAATGCTACACAACCTGATCATTAGGCAAAAAACATTGATCTAAAAATGATCAAGCTTAAAAGAAACAAGATAACTTCAACAATTCATTCACTAACTCAAAATACTAAAATTTTGTAGGAGACAAACAGCTATTATTGTAGTATTCTACTTAATACATATATTCGCAGTGTCCAGTGAGTTTATAATCTCATAATAGAAAAAAAACTAGAACCATTAATATCCACGACTAGATAAAAAACATGTTTAATTCAAATGAATAAAACAATTGTTGAAATATATAAGGATTTAATCCAATATACAGCAAGTAGTGCAGCAAGTGTATAACAACCTCTTCAAGCATTGCAAAAGCCGAACAAGCAGCCTCTTGCACCCACTTGTTAGTATCCAATATTCTCAGCAGGAGACCCATAAGAGCCGTATGTAATCAATAGGACACCGAACAGCTCAACCAAAAAAAAAAAAAGGAAAATTTTTTATGTTAACTCTTATTAAAAGTTAACAGAAACAGTTCTTTTCATAGTATTCTAGTTAAAACATATATTAGCAATGCCCAGCAATTTTATGGTCTAGTGACAGAAAAAACCCAAGAACCATTAACATCAAGGACTAGAGAAAAAAATGTCTAATTCTAATACTACATCTTCTAAATCAATGCTGAAACTGGAAAGTCAGAAATGAAAAATGATTCATACCAAGCTTTTATAAACTTGAAGTTACAGTAAATTACAAGCAAAATTAGGAAATACTTACAGCAGATTTGAGTATTCCAAGCAAACAACAGAATTATAATAAAAAAACAAGAGTACAAGAAGAAAACAAGAAACTGTTGACCAATTTCAGCACTTCTGCGGCAAGGTCATAAGCAAGGACAAACAAACCTGGAAGGTATTTATCCGTGGATGTACACCAAGCCTTCAATAAATTAATGTATAACATCAAAAAGTATCAGAACGACATCCATTAAAAGTAAGAATATAAACCTTAATGTATTGGTTTACAGAACCCAATTAAAGCTTTCTCAGAGAAGCAACTCAACAAACTGCATATAGAAAAGAAACATAATTAGCAACTTTTTTTTTTTTTGAGATATTAGCAATTTATATTTTGATAAAGCAGCATACAAAATAAAAAATATAGTAATAGGGTTTCATAAGTCATAATTGCAACAGTAAAAAGAGCTTATTATAATGTACAGGCCAGCCAAAAAAACCTGATGTTAGACAAAAACACGTTCATAAGCTAGCGTACACAATTATTTCCAAACTTGGTGCAACCTCTTCAGCAGCCTCAAATGAATAAAACAATTGTTGAAATCTATCAGAATTTAACCTGAATTACAACGTGCAGCAAGTTTATAATAACCTCTTCAAGCATTGCAAAAGCCAGTCAAACAGCCTCTTTTACCCACTTGTTAGCATCCAATATTCTTCGCAGCATACCCATAAGAACAGCATCAAATTGCTCATAGCCTTTCTGATGCCCACTAGACTGATATAAAGGAAACACGAGAGCTCTCAACTACAAAATCCAATGCATAGACAAAACAACAAAAAGTACTTTAGGAGTGCTATGTGCCAAAAACAGAAAATAAAAGGCATAAGATGCAAAAATGGTCATGGTGGTTATATATATTTATTAGATTAAAAATATATATTAACAGCCAAACAGCATCAAACAGAAGGAAAATAGGCTTGAGGAGAAACAACCAATGGAGCAATTTTAATCCATACCTGAACTGAATCGAGAAAGTGTCCAAGAAGAATTCTTCCGCATGATCTAAAAGGGGACTTAGAAATGCCACAACATGCAGACATAAATATGACTTTTTTTTTTCAAATTCTGCGGCAAGCATGTCAAAGAAGAATAAAGTAAAAGCAATGCAATAGCAAAAATAAAAAATTTAAGAGCATAAATTGAGTTAAGGAAAACCGATGACTGTTATATATGCACCATTTATTCTTCACCTTGTAATCTGCCTCTAAACTTTGTGTACCGGTTAAAAACAACAAGAATTACCTCGGACAAATGAGAATAAAGACCAGTAACGCAACCTTCACCAGTTGCACCAAGAGCCCAAACAGCAGCTTCCCTATCTTTCGAGGCTTGTTCACCACTAGCAAATAGGTAGGCCAGCAGAAATTCACCACTAACAATACCAAAAATGCTGTTAATCCAATAAATATACAATCTTTGCAAATTCTATTACAGAATTATTAAACCTATAGTCACCAAATTCAAATATTCTATAGAGAAACACAATCCAATAAAAAGAAATTTCATTAAAGAAATAAAAACCGTACAATCAAATCAATACCCAAAATCCTTTTCCTCAAAAAAAAAAAAAACGAAAATCCGGAAAAGAAAATTCTACTAAACTAGTTACTGAGAAAACAAACGGAGAGAGGAAAAGAAGCAAACCTCAGCTCGAGAAAGGATAAAAACGAGATAGTTGTTGAAATCAGGGAACTCAGAGTAGTGCTGAAGCTGTTGCCAAATCTGAGACTATCACTATCAGCCGAAGAAGAAAGCGAAATCTGCTGCTCCAGTAGTCCGCCGATCTCCTTCAACAATTCTTCGATTTCATTTCTGGTTTTAGATTAATTTTCAGAGAGAAAAAAGAATATGGGTTTTTCCTCTCTTTTTTGACAAAGTTCAAAGATTTCGGTAGGCAAACAGGCAAATGTGACAAGAAAAAGAGAAGAATATTTGTTGGAGAGTTTGCTTAGGAGACAAAAAATAGTTTTTTTTTTTGGAGGAATGACAAAAGAAAGAAATACGAAGAAAATAAAAACAGTAAAAATTAATCGTCTTGGGTTTCAAATTTTGAATCTGGATCCGATATATATAGACGGCATCAGCCGACATAGTCCGCGTATTACCCGTTAGAGCCCCAACCTTTTTTGGTTGGGCTTGAGGCTCAATAAGCCCAAATTAAACCCTATGGTTTAAGTAGTTCTGATGAAACTGATCCTTGGTCCATTCGTCGCACTTTGACATGAAATTGTTACTCCAGATAAGGTTGAAGCCTCATATTATGGTCCACGTCCGGTAATTAATTTTCCTTGGCAAAACCAAATCCTTAATTATTACTGTTTTTTTTTTTGTTCTTTTACCCTGTGATAAACTGAAAAACTTATCACAAAAAAATTTACTGTTAGCATGGTAAATTCATCATATTGCCAGGTAAAAAGCCCAAGATTTGAAGAAGGCATCTATCTCAGGCTACTGGAAGACAATTGACTTGCTTCATTCTATTACAACACTAGGTTTATTATTTTTTACCTGATTGATATACAAGCTGAATTTATTATTTAGTTGCAAATAATTTAGAGATTGCTGTTGCTTACCTGATTGATTTGTTATTTCTAGCTGCAAGTTTCTCATTTTGATTTCTAGTTTTGAAGAAATAGATTTTTGCACTGGATTGAGGAACATAGACTCTCTCGTTGTACTATATGTTATTGAGGATTGAGGATTTATTTTCAGCTTTTGCTTCCATTTCATCAAACATTCAAACATGTAATTCTGCTTACATGCTTGTGATTGAGACCATACCCTGAAACAAGTTACTCAGATTGAGTGTAACTCACAGTCAAACCTCTTCCCCTCTGGTTTTTGCCTTCTGTTTTGAATCTCCAGATGAAAACTTGGAAGACAATGTGCAGAAAATAGTTAATTAACATAAAATTTATATGTACAAAATTTGTTTGTTTTTGAAACAAGAAAAGAGGTAATGTCAAATTCAGCAGCCAAACATATTTACAATCACCTGTCATTGACTGTCCATATAATTAGCACAATTACCCTGACCCCATTAGTAAGGCAGCCTTTCACGTTTTAACATATATTTATTGAATTGTTGAGAGAGCTATCTCCAGGTGATAGCAGCTATTTACAGCATATGTTACAGTTGCCCCAGCAATATTATTCTGGTCGAAAGCTGACAAGATTGGGAAGGGCAGTTGACTGGAGCTTCTTAATTTCAGAGGCAGTTACCTTGCAGGATTCCAAAGATAGCGACCGTAAATTCTTTAGAGGCTTTAAATACAGCAAACCATCATTAGTTATGTAAGAATTTGAAACATTTAATGACACCAATGCGGTCAGGCCTGCATTTACACCAGAAAATGAAAATCCATGATTAGAAGATCTCACTGACTTCATCAGAGCACAGACAGATGGAAGCCATGGACTAGAATACTTTCACATTCAGAAGCCATTATTAGAAGGCCCCAAATAAGCTCTCAATTCACCAGTTTTACTGACTGCCCGTTCATCTTTGCGTGTTTAGACATTTCCTGGACCAACTAATCATACATGACCAAGTTACTAGACAGTAGCAAAAGTACTGCAAATCACTGGTCCTGCAGCAGAATGCCAAGCGGGACAATTGCCAGATGAGATAATCTGACACTAGAGATACAAGTAGCTGTCTTATATATGTCTCTGTATCATTTTCTATACAAGCATAGCAAGGTTTGTTCTATTCAAGAATTGCACTAACAATGGCCAAAAAGGAGAAAAAAAAGAAGCTAAATAAACACCATAAAACCATGAGGAATAAAAGCAAAACTTACCTGAAATCAGTTCCAAGGATTTGTTTGTCAGGTTGCAGTTTTGTGAAAGGTTCAATAGCGTTAAAGAGGTAAGATCTTTGATATTTTTCACCCCAGCATCAGTTAAACCACCTCCACATATTTCAAGGGATTGGAGGTTCTTGAAGCCTGTTTAGCATGAAAACAAGCAGGTGCAAGAACATTTAACACAAAATTAGAACATGTAAAACAAAATTCTTGAGAAAAGTTTACAATGAAAATGAGATTATGCCAAACTCAATATTAGGCCTATTGATGAAGACCATAACAACCTTTTAATAAACATGATTCTAAAAGTTCTCATGAGCCTACTGATTATCCTACCATTGGAGATATAAATACACCTCAATAAATCAACTAAAAGGGACCTTATATTTCTCAAAGTTACTCCTGAACTTCCTCAAGTATGTATGTCCAAACTATCCAGTCTTCAAGGCAAAGAGCAAACCAAAACAATCAAGTTTTTCAAACAAACAAAAAGAAAACATCAAAGGTTAAAAGCTATAATAAAACTTGAATATGACAAAATGATAGATTCAAGTTTTTCAAACAAGAAAAATGGTCCATTAAGCAACTTGCAATTTTAATTACTTAAGCAATGTCAATATTTTTGACATACATCGCAAATAATTTGTTCCAGTGTCCGAAATCCTAGCCCCAAAAAGATCCAGATGCATCAGTCCAGTCAAACCTGCATCAGCAAAATCAGAAATGTGATGACTTCATACATCCTTAAAACATTACACAATGAAGAAAAATAGAGAAGTGTGAATAAAATATTGACAATGGAGCAGCAATTTGGTGCCCACTTAGACTTAGCTTTTGGAAAATGAATTATGTCACTACAGACATCTTGGTGCAGCAATAATTGATATAAGATTCTTAAAACGGAAGAATACACTAGACCTGAATGGTGAATAACACTATGAAACAGGTTTCAATATACAGCTATACACCAATAGCCACGGATGAAAATAAGGTAAGAAATTTGCCATCTTAACACAAGAAATGAATTATCCAGTCCATGGATTTTTAAGTTATTATTTATTTACTTTCATGTAATGTCAATAATGAATCAGAGTTCTCTGATCTGTTCAAAAATTATTTATTTGCTTTCAAAGATTTCTCCATCTAGAGACACAATGTTTTTATATAAGGAAACATTCATAGCTGAAAGCTCAGCAAAATTTATGACTCCAAACCTGGCTATCCTGTAACAATCTAAGGCAAGGAAAAAGGGGTCGACAACCTACATTTCACAGTGGTCACCTTGTAAAACACAAAAATCAAGGAAAAATATAGCTCCAAATTTCTTCACTCCACAAAGACAGCAAAGAGACTTCAACCAAAAGATACAACCATAAGATTTCAAAAAGCCATAAATAGGATCAAAGGCACACCAGAATGTCTCCAACTTAGATGCACAAAGTTAGAAGAATGGTACAAAGAAATAAGTGAAAGTACTAACTTGTCAGAGCCAACAGCCCAGCATCTGTAATTTGGCGAGCATCCAGATTAAGTGACTTAAGAGCAGTCAATCCAGACAACTTTTGTAAACCACTATCAGTCACTAAACTGAATGATAAATTCAAGGTCTCCAGATGTGTCAATCCTAATATAACAGAACCAAGTCAGCATCATGCATTTAACATTATAATGCACTGAAAATTTCAGAAAAAATTGAAACCAAGAACATATAATTTAATAAAGAACCATGTGGAAAAGGGCAAGGATCATAATAGATGGTTTATAACACCACAACCCTAATCTTAAAGATTTGTTGCTTTGCCTTGTTAGGTCATTGATGAAGCAAACACTATAACAATATGATTGCCGTGAATTCTGTAATACATTCTATTCATTAATATATATTCAGCCGACATCCAGTGTCAATGTGTAAGGCATAAATAAAATTTCAGAAACAAATGAAAAAACGTATATATGGAAGAACTGAAAGTATCAAATGTTTCTCTTTTCTCCAACACATCATCACATACAGAAGGAAACAGAAATGGAGCAATAAGTCAAAGAAATCCAGGTAAAATAACCATTTCAAATGTATATAACAACTGAATTAAGAGAACTTGTTAACTCAATAAAAAAGATGATTCCTCAAAGAAAAGCAACTTAACAAAATCTGTGAACAATTTTATAGGTAAGAGCGGGGCTAACTGGAAGATAGGTTTCTAAAAGTATCACTGAAATTGTGTCATGCTTATAGCTAATATCAAGGGTTCAAAACTGGTCATATCACACACAAGCAAGATGATAAGAGATAGATTACTAACCAGAGAGGTATCGGAGCCCACTGCTTCCAACTTCAGTATCAGACAACTCTAGACTTTTGAGGAGTGAAAGGCCTGAAGAGCAAATCACAAGATAAACTAGGTCATGAAAATGTTTAAAGCAAACAGAGATCCTCCCAACATAACAGTTTAACTAGCAGCAAAATGAAACATGATATAGAAACCTATCAAATTAGCAAGGCCTTCATCACCAATTTTACATGAATCTAAATTCAGGCTCTCCAACTTTGTTAATCCTGCAAAGAAAGATATACCATATCAAACAAACTTATCACCATTTCAAATAAACAAGAGACCGGAATCAAATGTAAAATAAACCAAAGGATCAATGGTCTCATTTATTCAAATTCTTATCAACAATAAACTGCAAACAAGCATGAGTACATAAGGGCAAGCATAAAAAAATATGGAATCAGAATGAAAATTGTCCACTCTTTGGACCAAAGGTTCTTTATTTCACAGTAGAACTGCGAGAAAATTATTAGGACGAGTATCTTTTTTGATAGTCAACCAATCACATACAGAAAATGAACCAGAAATCAGTTATCATAGCATTATCAGACTTTTTAAACCTTCAGTGATGCATTGAAACCACTATCTGTAAGTGAAGGTCGCCTCAGACAATCTTTGTGTCAAAATTATTAACTATCATCTTGTGTTCTCAAGTGAACAGCATAATATTTGTCAAAATTGAAAGCATGAGGTTGCAAATATCATTATTATAGTTAGATCATAACTTTTTTCTGAATAAAGTCTGAAATGTAGGCCTATCTGTGCACCAATTAGAAGAAATGAGGCTTTGGATTTAGGGGTGACCAAAGCTTCTAGAGGTAGACCACGAAAAACATGGATGCAAGTAATAAGAGATGATATTAGACTTAAGGAAGTAGATGAAAAGGCTGTTTTTTATAGAAATGAGTGGTGCAAGAAAATTCAAAACTATGACGTAACATGATTCCTTTTTTTTGGCCTTTCATACAACCGACTTCAAAGTTGTGGGATATAAGGCTTAGTTTTTTGTTGTTGTTGTTGTAGGTCTGAAATACAAATCAATAGCCACTAACTTTAACAATAGTAAGGTCTTACAATTGTCATGATTTATGGAAAGCAACGGTGCAATTCACTGAGCTAACCTAGTAAAATTCATTAACTTGCACTGCCGTCTAGAAGTTGTTCAATGCAAAGAAAGAATGCAAATGGTCCACTCCCAGTAAAAGTTAAACTAACGGACCACAATGCAGTAACAAAGGGGAAAGAGAGAGAACCTTTTAGGTGCGCTAAACATGCATCTGTTATATTGTCAAATGGCAGGTTCAATACCTTCAAATTCTTAAGTCCTGCAAATGAGTGGTAAATACTGTAAATATTACTAACTATACTTAGCCATGCAATCGTTCTATGTGATTATTCAATACAACAAAGGGCTAAAAAAATATCAACTACAACTCACCAGAAAACTTGTCACATCCATCATCAGTTAGGCCACATCTTCCAAGATTTAAGTATGCCAAAGCAACAAGAGCTGCAGATAGAATAAATAATTTCTTTAATGAACTGAACATGATATATGTTCTCTGGTATTTAATTGAATAAACTATTCCAATCCCAATCCCTGCTTCATAGGCAGGAAAAAATTACAAGATAATTGCATAACATATGAAAATTATTATACTTCCAGGAAATTGAGTAATAGCTCAATGTATTCACTTTACCAAACTCCATGAACTTGTTAACAATTCATTGTTTGTTGCAATATGGTATAGTTGATCTTCTACTGCATGATAATGCTAGAGAGTTTATCCTCGTCCACATAATCTCCAAACTATAAGACATTACATCCGCTAACCAATTTGCCACACAAACCACACATGGTTACGTTTGAAGGTACAACCAATTTCAATGTATAGCAGCAAGTAATTGTACAATTATAGGTATCACTGAAAAGGCTACTAATAAGAAAATGCACCTGAGATGGAATCCAAGCATGCAGCGGTAAGTTTACATCCTTCCAGATCCAACATGATAAGCTTGCGCAAACCTGCCATGGACAATAATATTAACACATAACATAGGTTAAAGTTGTTAAATTCTTGAGGTCAACTGGTCTTATTAAGAAGATAGATTATTAGTTCTAATAAGTACGTAACTGACACAACAGCAAGGAAGATTAAGATTTCATTACTAGGAGACGATGAAGATGATGACATAAAAGGGAAAAACTCTGTCATTTAAGGTGTTTAGCTGTGACTTCTGGCTTTGTTTGGAGCAGTAATAACCTTATGTTTGGGTAAAAAGACTTAAAAGGTTTTAGAATCTATTTATTGTTTTAGTTTCTCAGCCTATCTCCATGCTTCTGCCTATCCAAAAACTTTTCACTATAACGTTTTCAGTTTTCTTCTGATTGTATATAACTAAAGTTAAATGACCGCCTATATCTGTTTCAAACAGGTTTGGAAGAACTATACCTGTCAGGTGTCATCCTCTGGGATTTGTTCAACGCGTGGACGGCTGACCCCTCAATTTTACACTCAGATGTCAGCTGCAGTGAATGTCAGTTATGGTTTGTATCGCTATGGTCCATTCCTGGTTAATTTGCAAGACTGCACTTTTGTGCGTGATACATTCACAGATATCAGTCATGATTATTGTCCTGGTCTGTGGCGCTATAGTCAATGGATCTACATTGGATTAGTAATTGTATCTGCTGCTGTGATGCTGTCATTGATCTTCTGGGTAATCTATGCAAGAGAGAGAAGGCACCGTGTTTATACTAAACGGTACGATGCTAGATCGGAAGGCCTATACAAGGGTGGATAGGACACCAAGTCCAATTAGCAGGTTGTTAATTTGCTTGTATATTTTGAGTAACATAGCTAAATTTTGTACATTATGTTTGTTATCCCTAGGCTTGAATCTTTGTGCAATGCAGTCTATAGCAATGCACAAGGAATGACTTTCTTTTCCATGAACCTTGACCATTTTCTCTAAGTGTAATGCATCTCTCTCATGAAGAACAGAAAATTCTTTTGTTTTGTTAATGTCAAGCTTCACCGACGGGCTATAAACCACTGGTTCATGGCATGCATGAAAATTTTAATTTAGGTTCTTTTGCTTGATATTTTTGTTCATTTTTTTTCAAAAAATAAATAACCAAAACATCAAATTAAATGGAACTTAGCTCTTCAGCTGTTAAGCAATAAGGATTGAGGTTGCTTTGAACTGAGTGGCTAGGCTCAGTGTTAAGGCCCAAAGAGACCCAGAGTTTAGTTCATTCCTATGGTGCAAAAACACAGGCTATCTTATCTGAAAGAGTGATGGGACTTCATCTTTCGGCTTTAAGAGTTTGTCCCATTTTTCAGGTGCCTAGGAGGAGCATCTTGCCCCGTAGCATCTGCCACTGTCGGATTCATGTTGGTTGGAGAGGAAAACTTGCTTGTAACATTTCAATTCAGGAATATGCTTGTAACTCTTGTTGCAAGTTGATTTTGTATATAAATATGTGAAAGATTTCCTAATACAAAAGTTATTATCATATTTCAACTAATGACAACACAACAAGAAACATCACCATTTGACCATTTCATGTATTCATTACAATCCCTTTCTCGCAATTATTTTTGTATAAAAAAATTAATTAAATTAGCTACACCTAGATTTCCATAGGTTGACCTAAATAAGCAAGTTTATAAGGTGAAATTAATTAGGGGGTAAAATTAAGTTAGATCCTGTCAAAAAAAAAAAAAGTGGCAGTCGGCAAGTAACTTTATGATATACTTATCTAATGGACTACAGATAGATTGTATGCTTGCCTTCAATCAACATCAGTAAGAGAAAGTTTGATCAACTGCCATATCACTTTCTATACACACAACCCACCATGTAACTCTTTCAGTGAAAATAAAAGTTGGTTCTTTTACAAGCTAATCCATGAGGAAAATATTATAGGAGGTGACAATTTTTTTCCTAATATTATTTCTAAAAAATATAAAAACTAATTGTGTTTCAAAATTAATAAATTTTATTGATAAATTTGACTCGCATCTCTTTTGGTTTTAACTTTTCTCACATAATAACCCAACCATGTAACTCTTTGAGTTTTGGATCATGATGATCATAAACAAGCACAATGCATACTTAAAAAAAAAATAAAAAAGAAGAAGAAGAAGAGGAAGAAAGAGCAGAATTCAGACTTTTCTTCCTCTCCTTATGGGTTTGGGATTGTCAAGGATTCTGGTGTTCTGATATGGGTTTTTTTTATATGCATGTAGGTTGTTTTATCAATGGCAGAAGACATCATAAATTAAACCCATATCACCACATCTTCTGAAATCATCCCTCCATCCCATGAAAGTGTTTTTGTGACATTCAACATATTCCTTTGTAAAATTGTCCCAAAACCAAAATTGTCTAGAAAAGTTGGTAACGGGTCTTTATCAGTGTGATCAGGGTCCCTCCATTTGCGGATTTGAATATGACAATTGTACAACGTGTCAAGTTTTATAAAGGGGACGATGATGCATGTTATGCTGTTTGTTCTTGCTAGGTTGCTAATGTCATACAAGCTGTATGCCTCTTGCCCCCACACAGCCGACCTCAAAGATAAGCAAACAATCTAAGTTTAACTCAAATTTGATACTATTTCTGAAATTAACAATTTAAATCCCTCTTTGAAATTAGATATTGAGCATGACAGATAAGCAATAAAAAACGATTCAATGAGATGTTTTATGTTCTTTCAAACTATAAAAGCAGTGTCTTGTATAAGAGTAAGACCCTTGACCTTCATTCTATCTATGAGGCCATAACCCTTTTTTCTTGTAGAGGTTATGCATAGAATATTGGTTTCTATATGCGTTTTACAAGGGTTTTCAGTTTGATTTTATCTGAAGATTTCAAGCCATTTCAGGGCTTCAAAAATATAAATGAAATATTAAATTGGAATTGATCAGTTTGAAAGGGCATGAATGAAACTGTAAGAAAGGAAGCCGTAACCGGCCTTTGTTAGGGTTCAAGCTCAAATGTCCATGGCACTGGACCACCATAGCAATTTTAGCTTTAGGACCTTTTTTTTGCCAATTTTAGTTGTCATTTTAATAGTTGGAAATTGGAATAAAAATGTCTCTCCTTCATTGTCATGCATGTATCTAGCAGTGACCATTGAATAGAGCCAATAGAACTTGGTTATATCCAATTGGTTCCATACATTGAAAAGGAAAATTAAATTATTCGTCGGTGTAACGATTGGTCTGTCCCTTCAAATTTATATGAAAAACGAAATGGTCTGAATTGGTATTGCACTTAACCAATTGTCGACTGTTCTTATTACCCAAAACACTATATAAGATCATGCCATTAATTAAAAACTATGAAAGAAAAGGTTACCAAGGTAATTTAAACAGGTTTTTTCAAAGCAATAAAACCCCAATTTTCGCCAACTTGCCATTAGTTTGCCACACAAACAAGAGAAATTATCGACATCTAGACCCCCACTTTCCGCTTGATCAAAGCCTTTTTGAACCATCCCAATTTCTCATGGCCTCAAACCCCCACATGCCTATGTTCCCCTACCACACATCCAGGATCCTTCAGGTGCAGCATGCACAGGAATTTCAACAAGCCACCCGGTTGGACAAGGGTGGTTCGTGTCTCACAAAGTCACTCGGAATTATCTGTGGTTACCAAAGCAAATTCCATCAAGACGTTTCTGCTTCAAATCATCAAGCCATCGAGCCATGACATGCAAAGGAGAAGGAATTTCCAGCCTAAGCCTTCCAGGTTCTGTTTATTGAATGGCAACAGAAACAGGCTTGGGGTTGCAGTTTCCTGAACATACATTGTGGTTTAGTTGCAAGAATTGCCCTTGGTGCCTTTTCTTTTCTTTTTTTGGCTTCTTTGATGGGTTCGAAGCTTAATTTTGAAGTTAAAAGATAAAATGAAATGTAATTCAACTATTTGAATATTTTTCAAAAATTATTCAATTAATTAAATACTTTTTTATACTGTCAATTCAGGTTCAATGTATCAAATTAACTTTTCTATAAATACTTAAACTTTATTTTTAATAAACTTATTGTTTTACATGATAATCTTCAATTTGCATATTGTTGAAACAATGTGTGAAATACAGTAAAATGCAATTAACTCTCGTACAAATAAATTATGGGTTTTTGAAAATATGATCTATCTCTATTTTTTTGTTACATTAAATCTTTTCAATCTCCACTCACGGCAAATTGGTCCCACCCAATCCCCAGCTGGTAAGAAATCGTATGCTTCAAACAAAGCTTGACTTTTGACCGGTGGAACGGGAATCAATCAATAAAAACGGTTGGCTCTTGGCTTCGGAACCTGTGGGCTTCCACAACCATGTGGAGCATTTCAGTTGCCAAATTTTTTATTATAATTATTCCATGAAAATAAACAATTATAAATTTCATCTATTTATGAATTATAATTGATAATAAATTAATATTTGTAATATGCTTTTAATGTGAAAAAAAGAATACAACCGACAAGTGAATCAAATTTATTAATTTTGGTTTTTGAATGCGAAGTTTTCAAAAGCCGAAAAGTCCACACAACAAATTGGAGGCCATTGAGCCTATATTTCGTGGCAGCACAACTACCTTAACTGCCATTTATAAACAAAACAAAGGTCCATTGCACAATGGAGGAGTTGATATTATACGGGATTCAGACCATTCCCCCATTCAGGTTATTTCAAGTGTTAAAGAAAAAAAATAACTTTTATTATTTTTTTAATATAAAAGAAATTGTAATTTAAAAATAATAAAAAAATTTGTATGTATTAAAATTTTGAATTTTAAATTTATTAGACATAATTTCTTAAGAATAATTATATGAATAAATTGAATTATATTAAATTCAAATTCTATTATATATTAACATTTTTTACATTGTTGTCTTCAATTTTTCCAAACTTTTTCTTTCTCAATTGGACAATAGATTGTCGTGAAAATATTCAGATATTAACTGAACTTTCCCACTTTCTCTAGTTCAATCCAATAATAAAAATGGAAGGCTGAGGAAGAATTCGAAACCAAAAGGGGTGGCAAACAATAAGAAAAAAGACAATGATATATCTTGAATATGAGTTTGATTGTCTACCTACTTGATCACATGATCATTATTCATTCATGTGAGTAAGTTTTCCTAAGTGATGAATTCCATAAGTGGAAAACAGCTTTGGTAAAATTAAAAAACAAACAAATCAATGATGTAATCAAAGATAACCAAATAAATAATTATAGACATGACAATTAAAGGTTGTACCAAAAAAAGGTTTATGATCAAAGCCATCTTAATCAGTACCTTCAAACTTGATTAATTAATTTTATTGATTAATATAATCATAGTCTATGACATAAGAATCTTCCAATTTTATTTATATTATTCTAAACGCGTTTGACTTAAAATTTTGGTATTTGGAGGAGAATAATTGACAGGGAATGGAAATTAAACTAGAAAGGAAACTAAAGAGAGGGAGAAAGAGAGAGAGAGAGTTTGAGATTGTTGATCCAATTTTTTTAATTTTTTTTTAAAAAATTACAATCTAAAAATGAAATAAATTTTTTTTTAAAATTTGAATTTTAAATTTATTGAATATTATATTTTAAAAATAATTATATAAATAAATTGAATTAAATTTAAACTCATAAATAATTAATCATACAATTTGTAATTGGTTTTTGGGAGTTGAGAAGTTGAACCTAAATCCAACTAAATCTTTCCACGATAATGGAATTAAAATTGGTATAACAATCAAATCAAAATATTCTAAAACTTAACAGAACAACAGTGTGGGTAACACGTCTTTGCATGCCCCAAACAATTTGAATTACTTTGGTTTTGTTCGATACTGACTTTGTCAAACCAACCTTTCCACATGGCGTTCCGTGTCTTTCATTGGAGTTTTGCAGAAAAGTTGAGAATCTTCTGAGTAGGAAATGAATCATTGATCCGAAATACCTAAAATTGGCTTTGACAAAGTGCTTTCGGTGTGTGACCAAAATAATTAGGCTTGGCTGCCTTTTTCTCTTCCATTTTCTAATTTTCCTTTTTTTCATCTTTGCTGATTTGAATATCAGAACACTCTAAATTCTTATCTCTGACGCTCGCCGATTATTCTTTATAATAGATCACTCCAACATCTAAATTAACCATTTTGTTTGCTCCTTCATAAAGCATTCAATCACCAAACTCAAAAAATCATCAACAACTATGATAAAATGCAGTTGACAACTACTAATTAATTAGTATTAAGATATATATATATATATTGAATGAAATTTAAATAAAAATAATTATATATCATTATAATAATATATATCATGAATAAAATCGATCTTGAATTTAAAAGATCTTATTCAAGACCTAAATAATAGGTAGGCAACTCAAACCATGGTAACATTTAATTTCAAATTAAAATGTTGAGCCTCCTCATTATCTCCACCATAGTTGAAGAAAGCCTTATCATTTGCAGTAATTTTCAAGTTATACTTGATTACAATTAGGTAAACATCATGTTATGCACAGTTAAATTAAAATGCTATCAAATATACCATATTGTAATGTCTTTTTTTATATAATTAGATTGTTGAGCATTAAAATGACAATAAAGTGGTCCATTCTTTTAAATGCATTTTAATTCATTTTTAAATGAATAAAATTACTTTATATTCAAAAACAAGTTAAATATTCTTAGCTATTGCAAATTCATTTAATTTTATGAAATATTTTATGCATTAAATAATTTCCCAACCTTCTTTATATTTATTATAAATTGTAATTAATCAAAAGGAAAATAGAAATATCATAAGAAAAGCAAAGGGAAACTAAGGAAATAACAATGACGTGTACAGCCGCAAAGAATAACAAATTCCACGGGTATAAAATAAATAAAAAAAAGTTTAGGTGCACAATCGCAAAACTAAGAACTAAAAGCCCGACTTTGAAAATATCGCGAAATTTCCAAAACCCAGACGGCCAGACCCCTTCCCTCCCCCTATAAATACGTGGCTCGTGTAAAGCTAGGTTTGCCCAACTAAACAGCCACACGCGGCTTTTTAGAAATTCAAAAAAAAATTCTCATACTTTCTTTCTCTCTCTTCTGCCAAAAAAAAAAAAAAAAACAAATGGCGAAATCTTCTAGAAAATCGAGCGGTCCGGTTCTCCGATCTCTCTCCCCTTCTGGCCGGTTCAGTTCTCACTACACGTCACAGTCCCCATCATCTTCTTCTTCGGCCTTCGCTTATTCAAGTTCAAGCTTTTCTTCACGCTCCTCAACTTTCTTTAATCAACACAGATCTATCTCTCCACCACGTGTCAATCTCTACAACCACTCTCCATCGGCGCCGTCCGTGCGATTCTCGCTCGATAACCGTCCGATCTCGCCCAACCGTTCGATTACTACCGTCCGTAGAAACAACAAGGTGTTGAAGAATTTACAGAGTAAACAGCCGAAGCGGACTTGCATGTGTTCCCCTACGACGCATCCGGGATCGTTCCGTTGCAGCCTTCATAAGAGTTTTAATAATTCGCACGCGGTGACAAGTTGCGCGCCTAATAATCGGCTCAACGCGCGGAGGTCTGCTATGACGAACTCGCTGGTGAGAATCGGAGGAGTCGAAGGAGATCTGGTTAAGAGAGCTTTGTCGGCTTTGATTAGACCTTCCTCTCACCAGCAGCGTCGCCGCGCAGCGTTCCAGCCGAGGCCGAGTCGGCTCTCCGTGATGTCAAAAGCCGAGGATTAATGAAGATTCCTTTGCGGTGTGTGTAATCTTTTAACGATTTCTGGTTAAGTCTCCGAGATTTTCCGGTGATTGGAGATCGAACTTTGGAGTCAAGCCGCGGAAGGTGGCGGTGAAGTCAGATTGCGGCGAAGAAGTTGGAAATCTGAACGAAGGATTCGGGCCGGAAATGAATTTTAGTGTACTCCGGGTGACCGAAACCGTAAAATCCGAGGAACATATTATCATATATTTTGTTGGTGTAAATACACATATTTGCAGCCAATGGCAAATTTGAGGAGCTTTTGGACAAAAACAAAAACTCTTAAAATCTCTTAAAAATATCTAATCTAATCAAATTAACTCTAATCTGACAATCCCAGGCCAGATCTCAGTGTTGATTGGTTTCAAGTATTATTTCTTCCATTTGTTTTGTTCTCCAAACACCATTCCATTCCAGCGCAGTTCTTTTTTCTTTTTGGTGTTCCGTTTGGTTTGACATTTCCCGTTTTCCATTTCAGCCGTTTCTTCTGTTTGATCTTTTTCCACTTTTCCCGTTTTGACTCGTCCCGTTCTTTTTCTTTCTTCCACCTGTATTTCTTTTTTTAATAAAAAATTTTTTTTCATAATTTTGTTTTGTCTTTTAATTTAGGTTTTGATTTACAGTTGATAGTTTTATTCTTAATTTTCTTCTTTTTTCTTGTTTTACAGGTATCGAAAATGGAGAAGTTGTGGGAAATTCACGTAACTGGATTCTACTTATACACACGCAAGGGAGAAGTAAACTGAACGAAATTAGACCTTGAAGATGACCTTACCGTCGGGGAAGAAAATGAAACTAGTAAATTATCAACTTTAACTCAGTTGGACCATCCCTAAATTTGATTGAAATTATGGTAATAATCGTACTAATGGGGGATTAATAAAGGATAAAGAAGGGAAAGGTGGTAAATAATAATATGATTAATTAAAGAAGATAAGAAAACAGAAATATTTACGCTTAAAAAATGAAACAAAGTTTTGAAGACAAAAATTATTTCACAATAATAAAGCGAAACTTAAAAATTTTTCAGGTGTTGCTTGAGAGTTGCAAATTAGCACAAAAAATGACTACAATTGCAAGAACTGGTCAAAGCCCACAGGAATCCACAGCTTCGATTTTGCCATTTTCTTATTTTTTTTAAAAGCACAACAGACACAATTATTTTGAATAATTAAAAAAATTGACAAGCTAAAAGATTATTACACCCAAATTAAAATTTGTGTATTGGTAATCACATCATGACTCTCTTTTTTTTTTTTTCCTTTTAATTTTTAATCTATCTTTAAAATTTTTCCTATCTAATTACAAAGGTGGTTGAATAAAATATTATATACTTAAATTTATTTAAATTTATAATTTTTAAATATCAATTTCAATAATATATTAATTGATCTAAAAAATAATAAAATTTTTTTATAATTAATTTTAGTAACTAGTCACTTTATAATTAAATCTTCAATATTTTATACTCTCTTTTTCTTTTAATAGAAATGATCGTTCACTCATTTCTTTTCTATGAAAAAGAATTTAATCTATCAATTCAAAAAATATATATATTTAAAATTTTCCCGTACGTATAGCTGTAAATGCTGTTAACTTGGATTAATACTCCTATCACGCAAACTTAATTTCTCGCAAATAATGAAATTTGTAAATTAAAACTTTTTTTTTCTTTATTTTGATGGCTCCCAATTCCCAAATGGGTCCAGAAAACTGAAAGCCTTCAAATTGTGAAAGGGAAAACGCTGGCCAACCCACATACCATATGAAAGCTGTGATGGCTTTGCAACAGCCTGCATATGGGACCATTCATATCTACTTTGCAAAGAAAATTTTTCCAAGTGATCATAGCAGTTTTTGGCCAGTTGAGAGGAGGTCCATGTTGCCTGTCAGATTCTCACCCAAAGCCAAAAAGATGGATCAAACTTCCCTGTGATGTAAGCACCATACAACCAAATATTGTTTCCCTTCGATCTAATCATCATCATCATCATCATCAAATATCTTAGAGATCATTTGACTCAGGAATTGGTGTTTGTTTTACAACTTTCAGATCAGATGAGCTGATGCTGATGTACTAAATTTTGCAATTGTAGTTTACTAATTTCGCACTTTCGAGTGGGCTCTTCAATGTCAGTGAAAATTTTTGAAGTACTTTTCATTCTATTTTTGAGGGTCAAGACAATAATTGACAAGCCCCATGTGCATGAACCAGCCACGAGGGATTATTGATGACGATGATGGTAATCGATTCGATCTGTTTTTTCCTTTTTTCTTTCATGATAGGATAAGGATGGATTGGAGTTTTGAAAGGTTTTAAAATTCTCTATGCCAGTTCTTGTTTCATAGTTCTTACAAAACAATGATGTGTATGACAATGAGTTGGCAAGTGGCGTTAAAGAATTCAACAATATTGTTTGTCTCTTTGTGAAGAAACTGGTGTTTTTTATGTTTCAATCTTCTTATCCAACCTGTGAATTTGGTCAGTTCAGATGACGTTGAAAGCAGGAAAACAATTTTCAAAAAGAGTTTTCCTTGATATTTGTAGATTTTCTTCAAAGGGCCCTACTGCTAAGGGAAATAATTTAATTTGGTATTCCCTCAAAAATGGCATCAAGAGGGTGGGTGATGTCATGGCTGGTTGTTATTTCAATGGATAAGTTGCCACTCTTTCTATCGTGCTTCTACTAGAAGAAAAAGAAAACGACATGTTGGGAGCTCTTTGTCTAATTCTGTATTCCCTTTTTCATTGAATATTTGGTTTTGTTAGATCATGCCTAACCTCAAATATAATATGATATAATATTATTGGATATATGGTATTGAGGTCATATTGATTCCAAAACACAAAATGTCATAAAAAGAATTATGGTACCAGTAGCATACATTTAGTGATCTATAACCGAAAATCTCATTCATTTGCCTAAAAAAACACTAGGAAAATGGCATATATCTTCATCAATTTACTTAGAATAAATAATTTGTTTATTAGATACTGCTTTTCTGATTTTTTTTATTCTATAAAAGTATTTAGATAATAGCTCCTTCAACTTGAATTATTATGTAAATTCATAAAAGCTTTCAAATACGGTATTGTTCATTACTCTTCCAAGCAAATTCATAAAATTTGTTGTTCATTATCATCATTAAATCCTTACCTCTTGTGATTAGTTACTGGTATCCTAAATTCTCAGCAACTCTTGCAAACATCTAAAATTCCAATTACCATACCTGTTCCTTTAAGTCGTCCATCTCCTAGTGCAAAAGGCCAATGCTATAAAACTCCTAATCCCAATTGTTTCTCAACTTTTAAGGAGGCTTTTCAACTTTTGTCAAGAATTAGCAAACCTCTGAATCCATGCAAAACAAGCAAGGTGTAGCCTTTAATTTTTGCTATTGTTTTTATTTATTTAGTTATTTATTGTCTTGTGTATTTGCCAGCAGGGTGGGGCCCTTTGTTTATTACGAACAGACAGAGGGTTATATTTCTTTGTATTTATGGACAGGAATTTAAAGAATGTAGATACCATGGGCTACAATGTTTAGTTAAATTGAATAAAAGAGGTTGGCATTCATTGCAACTTTGAAGGCACTGGCAGACATATGTTAAAGAATTCGACTAAGCCAAATCGACCACATTGCAATGAAAGATGAAAATAGTTTTATTGTTTTATAGCCGCTAGTTAACGTCTACACCCCAAAACATTACTGTCAAGATGCATACAGTGTAAAAACACCTTACGATATTGAAGATATGGGTACCATCCTTTCTATCAGTTTAATATTCATTTTCAGACCATAGCTGAGCTGAGCTGAGCATGTCCTGCTGATGGAACTATGATAGTCAGTTCATGAACTGGTTTCATTTAGCACAAAAAGATGCACACATTGAAATCGGCAAAGAAATTCTAAGAAAGCTCACAGCTCACAATCTATAGATTTTTTTTTTTCATTGCAAGGCATGATGGTTGCCGATATGAAGGATTTTACAACTAATGAAGATCCCATGAAACCAGAAAGCTTAAAGCATGTATATAGTTCTTGAAAGTTTAGATTAGATGAACTCGAAAAGAATATAGACTATGGCATGCGTGTTGATCACAGAAAAACTGTCCCACACTACTTGAATATGCTAATATTGGACCTAAAAAGCAATTGTTACCAGACACAAGGCTTGTCCCTATTATTGGTGAAAATATTTGATCTCACCTTTCCAGACAAAACTAAGAAAGACGTATGGTCAAGTCAAGTGGGCTTCATGTCCTGAAACAGTGCTGCCCATATTGTATGATCACCGTAGTCCAAGCCTGCCTTTTCTTTGTTGTAGTCACCATGAACCTTTGGGCTCGGTCGTCTTACATAACTAAGAGGTCCAGGCAGTTTTGGGCTCCTATTTGTGAACATTAACCTCTTGTGCCGTGGCAATATCAATAGGGCCTGTTGTTATCGGCCACCTATAATTGAACACCAACTTCTCCTGCATTTTTCTAGCTTGGGGCTGGGATAATTTTATTCTCATTTAACACTAAATTTTGGACAAATCCCTTACCTAAAGCTATGAGCAGGCCTACAACTATGGGAATAGATCAGACCTGATCATTCCCTTGAGCCCAACTTCCTTTGAGTTTGGTCAGCAGCTCATTGCAATTATAAAATTTATAATTTTTTATTCAGGAGCTTAAAAAATTTTCTTCTTTTTTGGATAAATCAGTATAAATTTTTTAAAATTCTACTAAATTTATAAAATTTACAAAAAATTTAAAAATATTATACAAATTTTTTGTCAAGACGAAATCTAAATCGTTGAAGGAAGAATAAACATATACTATTTATTGATAAAAAACTCCACTAATTTATATTCTTTTAAAAAATATACCTTTTAATTATACATAGCTGAGAAAAATAACAAATTATTAGTATACCTATTTCTCTTAGTAATTAAGTTTTAAAAAATGCATATTTATCAAATATTTAACAAAAAATAAACAAATATCATCATATAATGAAATCAATAATTAAATAAAGAATAAATTATATATTCTTATTCCCTTGCATAACTGATAGTTTTTTAGTTTGCAAATAATTTGTGTCAGTTGACGCTAAGTCAAAGTCTATTGATAGACTATAAACCATTCATCAAGTAGAAGCAAGAAACACGGCAAACAATGTAATAAAGATGACTTTTTGTTTATTTGACTACTTCCACACCAAATTTATATATTCCAAGAAAGAGAGAGGAGGAATCCACCATCCTATCATGAGGTTGGCGTGTA